CAAACGCTCTACTTTCCACCGGAACACTTTCCTCTGTTTCTTACTCTCCGTCTTTCTAGATCGGTCGAAGTTTGCCCATATGAGGAAGTGGTCGGTCGAATCTATATCTATCGCACTTACGTGCAGCTCTGGGATCTGCGTGCTCCCCCTATCTACCAGGATGTAGTCGAGGATCGAGTATTCATTGCAAACTGCCCTTCGCATGGTGAACTCCGGCTTATCGCATTCCCTCCTACCATTCAGCACCATCAGCTCGTTGCTTCCCAAGAATTCAAGCATCCTCACTCCGTTGTCATTCACTTTGTTTCTCCGTGCTGCCCGATCGCCTGTCCTCTACTGGAAGCTTTCCCTACTCTTGAGTTGAAATCGCCCACCATGACAACTTCTCCCTTCCTACTGAACCTCTGGACATGTTCCCCAATTTGTCCAAAGTTCTCCTGCGCCTTGCTTGCGACTTTCTTCGACGACGGTGGGACGTATACGTTCCCTAGAAACAAATCTTTCTCACCCCGCTCCCCAGGTATCTTAAGCCATAGGCTTTCCTCGAACTTCGTTTTCACCACTACTTCCACCACGTCAAACAAGGCCAGAGGGGGGGGGGGCGGTCGACAAGCAGCACGTGGCACAAGAAAGAAAGACGACTTTAAGTAGAAACACCCGGCTTTGACGCTTGAACCCGCCTCTCGCCGGCGCTTTGGCCCCTTGTGCGTGGTGAGGGTTCCCCCCGAAAAAATGGCAATCAATCATTGGAGGCATTCCTTGCAATGTTGATCGTCAACGCGCACGGCAAGCTAGATGGCGAGACTAAAGCCCAGGCTCGCCTCACAATCCCATCAGCGATCGCATTGCCCCCCTCCCCCCCCCACCTGCTCACCCCATTGTTGCTCGCAAGACATGCCAAGTGTTCCTGAACGAGCTGCCCTCGGGGCCTTGGAGGCGCGCCTGCCGACGGAATCGGGAACGGGCACGCGGGAGGGGAAGGGGAGGGGGAGGGGTCGCTCCCACACCTGCTATGACGATCCAGTCCGTCCCAACTTCAGCCCTTGGGCTGCCTACTGTACAGCGTGGGACGAAGCACCCCGGGGGTATTGGCCGAGCAAATGATGATTTTGCGCAAAAGAAACAAGGAAGGGGATTGCGCGAAACGGCGTGAAATAAATGGTCAACTGAGCGAGTCGCAAGGAGGATGAGATAGCCGGGTGTGCGCGCAACAGCTGTTCGTGAGTCGGACTTGGTAGTCCGTGCGTGTGGGTTTTTCATGTATGGTATGTAGCTTCGCGTGACTGGTGAAAAAGGGAGGGGTCCGGGCGTTCCAACCGCCACTCAGGATCTCGCGATACACGATGATAGAGAGGTGCGCGGGTCAGTTCCGAAGAAGGGCGAGAAATAAGACAGAGGGTGGCCACCAGGCTGCAAGCGAAGAAAATAAACTGGGTATCTACCTGAGACGAACGGAACCGACACCCCGCTCGGTTTCAACCGGGGGCGTCATTGGTACACTATTCCCAGAGGCGGGGCTGGGAAATAGAGAGAAAGGGAGAGGAAGGGAGAGGCGTCATCGAACAATGCAACACAACCGCTATAACAGCTTTCGCTTCAACGTCTCACCTTAGCCGTGTCTAGCGGATGGCAGAGAAGCCTCGCTACCAAGCCAGAGGTTGCGCTCCCAAGACATGTGTCGCGGAGCTACTTCGACCGCGACCGCCGTCAAAATCCGCGCACCACACCACACCGCAGTTTTGCAGGCAGAAAAGAAGTTTTGTGGAACATGATCATTCAACATATAAGAGGCCATGGGGGCAGGAGTTTCTTCACAAGCGAGGTCGTAACTTCAAGAGCGCGTCATGCCGTGACGGTGCTGTTGAAATAGGCAGATCCAGTAGCAGCAAGGGCTCTTGCCGATAAAGGGCTGGCGGTACGGAACGAAAGCGAGATGCCTCAAGCGCACCGTGCACAGCCGTGTGTGTTGCGCCGAATACGTTCGCTACTCTGGCACCAACTGCAGGAAGCTTCTGGGCCTCATGGCAGTGCGCCCGAGGTCTTCGCGCCCGCCAGCGCGACCAAAGAGGGTATCGTCTCTGGCAAGCATCGTCAAACTCGGTGCAGTGTAGCCCATGAACGCTCGTCTGAAGGTTTGTTCGACGGCGGTGGTTGTCGTACGGGAAAAAAAGTTGTCCTCAACACGAGCAAGCAGCGACCGAGCGGCCGAGACAATCGGCAACTGCCATGGCCCGAGCAAATTCTACGGCAGTGGCCGAGCACGTGACTACTGCTGTACTCTGCTACTACCAAGCAAGGTGGATTGGACAGGGCGGGCTCGGCGAAGTGACGAAGGCGCGGCGGAACTATAGCAGCGACTACGTTCTCCCGTGGATCAGGGGTGGTTGTCCCTCGTGGGTGAACGACCTCGAGCTATTGATTACCATACACCACAGGAAGCTCAACCACATCTGCAGGTAGGTAGCTGCAATGCTTCAGTTTACTCATCATGCTGTGGATCTGAAGCGCTGGTGCTGCACCGCTGCCCTGTTTCATGCGGAGCATTCTTGCAAGGGGCGCGGAGGTGCTGCTGCTGTGCAGCAGTAGTCATCTAGAAAGTCTACTGAAAGAGGGACTCAGGAGCGGCAAAAAAAACGTGCGTGCGCCCCTACGTACAACACAACGTCCTGCATGAACATAGCCCTCAAAACAAAGAGTGTGCGTGGTTGCTGTAGTGGGCAGCCGCGGGCACACCAGCAGAAGGACAGGGGAAGTCAAGCTTGTTTGGTTCAGTTCGGCGGTTGTGCCGATTGTGCTTTGTGCTACCCGTCCCAACTGCATCTGATTGACGACAGCACGGCTAGGTACACACATCTCCTCACCTCCTTTCCCTGGAGCATGAGAGTGACTACCTCGGAAGGGAGAGGTCTCTGGCCGTGTGCGTTCAAGAGGGAATGAGAGTACGATAAGCACGTGTGTGATACCCCTATTGTACCTCATCATGCGGAGCAGGGGGGTGCGGGGCAATTACGTTTTTTACTGTCTGATGATTGGTCCGCCGCTAGGCCTATGGCCAGTGTGCTGTGTGCCATTGTTGTGCCTCTTTAGGCGCGTCAAGGCACGTCATCAGGGGTGTGCGTGTGTTGTAGGGTCTCTACCTGTCTGTTGCCTTGCGCCAGAGCGTGCGCTGTGACTGCTGCTGCTGCTGCTGCTGTTGCAACAATGCAGTTCCCGGAGGTGCTCTCGCCTGTGCTTGGTGTCGCGACGGCCGCCATGGAGAGCTTCGTCAGCTGGTGCCAGGAGCACGAGTGGATCGCGAGCAAGTCTCTGTTCCTCGTCACCCCGGGAGAGGGCCTCGACGCGAAGGCGCTGGAGCTGGCCGACACCATCCAATTGGACGCAGGGACCATGAAGGTTTGCGTCCGTCCGACTGTCCACCCGGAGTGTGTGATTGGAGTTTTGAATCTTGCTTTCACATTACGATCATGCAAGTACATATGCACGAAATTGCTGCATGATGTCCACGATGATGATGCCGGGGATGTCGACTGGTATGCACACCAGGGTACGAGGAGGTGTATATTCAGCAGTAGCTCGTCGGTGACGCTTCAGCACAGAACGGGACTCCTGCTGCTGGAGGGTCAGCACTCAACGGCGAGCGGCGCTCGAATGGTGCCCTCCCACCGCCCCCATGCGCTTCTCGCCACCGAAACGTATGTATGCAGATTCATCATCTACGCCCCAATTTGCAGCAAATCATTTGCAGCAGAGGCCCCCGAACCCGCCCGGTTTTTCCCTCTCGCTCTGCAAGATTCCTGGTGCAGAGATTGCGGAGTTTGTCGCAACGCTATCGACGGGGTTGGCCCACCCGCCTTTTCATTTGGGCCAAGGGGTACGGCTCGAGAACAGCAAACGATGAAAGACACGCAACAACGCCGCTGTCTAACACGCCTCATGTATGTGCGGATTTTTTTTTTGTTGGAGGACACGCTCAAATCCAAAGGGTATCTACGCGGTGCCTGGGATGGTATTATGTAGCAACCGAGCCAGTGGGTCAAGCGGGATACACACACAAGCACACACAACTGGCCGTGGTATCAATCCAATTCATCGCCGATGCACAGCACTGCTGACGGTTGTAGTTCTCCTAGCACGCCAGAGTTCGTGTCATGCCTCAGCTAATACCGTACATCACGAAACGTCGCAGAAAGACGGTAGATAACACCCTCCCCCCACCGGAATACCACTTCCCTGCGACAATATTTTTGCGACTCTACATGAGCCCAAAACGTCAAAGTTAAAGTACTGCCGGATCAAGTACCCAGTGACCGAATGTACCACGCCCCCAGATAAATAATCGGAACTGACACCCCGGTGACAATATTATTCAAGCCCAAAGAATATGATCACGGTGGGGCGGGGGGGTGTTATCTCGTGTGCAATATGGTGGGTAAGGTGGGTTCTTATCTTTAGCAGCGCCACCTCACCTGCGCATGCCTTGGTGCATACCTCCGCCAACGAATACACAGCGCTGTTGCGTCGCGGGCGGAGCCGACCCAGCTGCCGGAGTCGTCGACACGCGTGCCGCTTTCGGGTTGCGCAGATCGCTATTATAGCACGCCGCCGGCAACATGATCTCTGCACGATCTCCTCGGCCCCGTAGTCTTGAGAGATCAGGTTCGTCAAGGAGAGGCATTTTTTTTTCTGTGTCGTATTTCGCCGGGAGTTGAAGAACTACGATCCGGACAATGGCTTGCTCCGATTTCAGTAGCCCAGCAACAGTGCTCATCAACCACCTGCACTGGTGATGAGCACACACGCGAGTTTTTCTCGACGTCACACTCCATCTTGAACACGCTCACTGCTGCTGGGCGACCGAAATCGGAGCAAGCCGTTGTCCGGATCATAATTCTTGAGTTCCGTACGAAATATGGAACAGAAAAACTTGTTCTCTCCTTGCCAAACCTGACCTTTCGAGACTACCGTATACGACACAAGATAACACACACCCTCGAGCGATTTTCAATGCTCGATTACGCCACGATGAAGAGGATGCATAAACGAAACGATACGTTTTCGGAAAGCTCTCGACGAGACGGTTTCAACGCCGCCCTTGTCGGCACCCCCACTCTTTCTGCTGTTGAGAAAGTGAGCTTTGAAAATCGTTCCAGGGGGTGTGTTATCTTGTGTGTATATGGTATATACGTGGCCGAGGAGATCGTGCAGAGATCATGTTCCCGGCCGCGTGACGGCGACCTACGACCCGAAAGCGGCACACAATGTTTGGACGACGCCGACAGTTACGCCGGCTCCGTCTGCGACGCAACAGCGCTATTGGTTGGTGGAGGTATGCGTTGTCGTGTGTGTGCGCGGGGGACGTGGGTGGCGGACAACGCCGGGCTGCATGATCGAAGTGGTGCTGCTGCCGGCGAAGCTGTTCTTACGCCCTTTTCAGCTCTTTCTCTCTCTCTCTCCCGCTCTCTCTCTCTCTCGTCTCGATCAACATAAGGCCATTGTCTGCGCTTTCTCTGTATTAGCTCCTTCGCGGCCTGTGCGGCTCTCCTTCCGTCGGCGAGGGGTATACCGTAATATCCTCTGTCATAGCCCCCCTCCATGTCACAGCCCCCCCTATAATCGCCGTGGTACCCCAAAAACTTTTAGTTTGCCCCAGGGGGTTGTATCGTTTTTTACTTATTTTTCATTTTTCGCCCCCTCTCCCGTTGATTTCGCCCCGGGGTGTTCGTTTTTCGGCATTGTTTGGGGGCGCCCCACTGGGCGTTCTCACTCAAACCCACGGGCGGCATTCCGCTGTGGCAGCATTTCTCGTGTTTGTGCCAGTTGCCGTAGTTGTTGTATTGTAGTTGGTGTTGGTGTTGGTGTTGGTGTTGGTGTCAGCGCTGTACAGCGTTGTGTTATTAGGAAAAATAAATACACACAGAAAGACTACCCGTTCGAGGTGTACCCACAGTCGAACGGGATGTAGTTGTGTTATACAGCAGGTGCATCCCAGCAGAAAAGAGACAACGCCCCCCCCCGGGGCCTTTTTGCCCCGGGGTATTTATTTTTATTTTAGAAAGATCGCCCCTCTATCTTTGAGATAGCCCCGGGGTGTACATATGATTTCACAAAAGACGATCGCCGCGGGAGTCTATGACGGAGGATACTAAGGTAGTTTGGCTTCGAATTCCGCGACCTCAGTAGATTTTCCCATCTCCACAATACACCAAACAAGCACGAGCACCAATCGCCTCGGAAAGTGGCACGATTTGTATTTGCAAATAGAAAAATATCCCGCGGCTCCAAAACCTATGGCGACACGGATAAAACGTGTAGTAGCCCTTGGCTCCACACGCGTGTGACGACACGGGTAAAGGGTGTATGTAGCCTGTGGCTCGAAACTGTGAGGGCACGGTGTAACCCACGTGTAGCTAGCTCCACACCAGTATCCAACACCCAAGGGGTCCTTGCTCGATTGATCGCGTTGGGCAGTGGGTGCTTCTCGTCGTCAGGGATGCGAAGAAAAGGCTGCATGAAGACCTCGTCTGCCAACAAGGAGGGAAGGGGGCACGCTGGCCCCACGGACGATTTCGCCGTTCACACACACCAACATGATTCGCGAAACCCCCTAGGTTTCTCCGCAGATCCGTATCTAGTGCTGACCGCGCCTGGCAGTGGGCCACAACGAGAGTATATATGTGCGCTAGCGCAAGGTGTATCCGTTCTGACCTGAATCTGAACCTCCTTTTCGGCAGCATTCAACACCATATATCCCTAACCCCCCACGCCCCCCGCTTTTTTCGGACTTGACGTGGACAGTACGTGCTTCTGCTGCTCGCGGCCTACCCGCTGGCCGCGGTGTTCGCCCGGCTGCCCAACGCGGCCGCCAAGCACCTGTTCTCCACCTTCCTCGGGGTCTGGATCATGCAGTTCGTGTTCTACGGGCAGTGGATCCACTCCTTCATCTCCTCCGCGGCGACCTACCTCATGGTCCTCACGCTGCCGAACAGGTGCGCCCGAAGTGGGTGTGGGAAGCGGGTGGGTCGTAAGGATGGTTGGCCCTTGTTTTCGCCCCGCATCCTTCCCTCCTCCCGAGTCCCTTGTCTCTGTCTGTGTGTGTCTCCGGATAGGTTAGCGAGTTTTTTTTTTTTTTCCTATGGGGGTGCTTCTTTCTTTGACTGAAGCTCGTTTTTTGAGTGCCTTAGATGCCCTGTAGCATACGACGGAGTAGACCCGCCCTTTTGTGTGGTCTCTGGCCTAACTCTGTTATTCTGGGGTGTTTTTTCATTGTTTCCCTTGCTCTCTGCCTCGCGGTTTTTTTGCCCGAGTTTGCCTGCCGCGGGGGGTCCTGTTGAAAATCGAGTTTTGACAACAACAGTAGTGCTGTGGACTCCGTTCGTGCACGAGCATGGGTATCATGCTTTTCCTCCTGGGGCGGTTGCGACCCTCGTGCCCAGCAGGGTAACGTTGTCATGTTCGTGGCTTGTTTTGTCTTTGTCGTCATTGTTGTTGTTGTTGCTGCTGCTGTTGTTGTTGTTGTTGCTGCTGGTGATGATGATGTCATGTATGCCCTCTCAAGACCCACTCCTTCCACACCACACCTGTTGGTGCCATTTGCGGGATCTCGCATTGCAGTCACTACACAGCAAGCAGTGGCTAGATTCTCAAGCGTCGAGTCTCCCATGTAATCACGTGACACCTTTCCCCACCAACTGATCTGGCCCCATCCGTCGCCGCCTTCACGAATCATGTACCTGGCAGGCACATGCCCCACGTGGTGTTCGCCTTCGTGCTGGGGTACATCTGCCTGTCGCACATCTACCGCGCTTACGTGGACTACATGGGCTGGAGCCTCGATTTCACGGGTCCTCAGGTAGGAGATGTCGGCGCCGATACCGTAAAGAGGTGGAGTGATCGGCGCCCCCCGATTTCAAAGCTCGATTGGGCTCTCGCGCCTTAAGGTGGGCGCAGAAAGAGCCCGGGGACGTTCTCGGAAAGTCCTCAACGAGATGTGTTCCCAACACCGCCGTTTTTGGTGTTTGTTGGTACAAGCTTGGTTGTGGAGCAATCGAGTTTTGAAAGTCGGTCTGGGGGGCGGGGGCGGGGGGGGGGATGCCATCTCTGCGCCTCTTTCGAAACGTTGCTTTTTGGGTCGTAGCAGTCTCCCCCCCCCACCCCCACCCCCACCTCAACGACATTTTATTCCGTGTAACGTCCAACAAGTCTTGCACGATATACGTGTATATACACTCTGAGGGGCGAACGCTCCTTGCCGCGAGTACGTCGCATCGAAAAATGTCTTTCTTTTTTTTTCCACTCGCAAGTCCAAGATACAGTAATCGCACGTTGGTAGGATCTCGAGTCGCAACGTGTTTCGGCCCATGTTCGTGCACGCCGTGTTCATCGACCCGACCGTGCTGATGCACGTCAAAACCGATGTTAGTAGGGGGAAATTGTTGGTAACTTTGTTCCATCACATGCCGTCGACCAGTGTATTCATGCTGCGGACACTCGTGCGGGTCTTGAATAGAAGAACGCCTTTGTTTTTTTTTCTTCTCTTTTGTTCGTATCGGATCGTGTCGTCGTTACTTTCGTCTAGGTGGCGAACAGAGGAACGTGTTTATTGACTGTTTTTTGTTTTTTTTCGTGCCGTATCATGTCGCCGTTACTTTTGTACAGATGATGAACAGAGGAACGTTTTTATTTATTGTTTTTTGTTTTTTTTCGTGCCGTATCGTGTCGCCGATTGTTTTTGTCCAGATGGTGCTGACGATCAAGCTGAGCTCGTTCGCGTACAACGTGTGGGACGGTAGGAAGTGGGCGGAGATCGAAAAGGACACCGGGGATAAGCGAAAGGACAGGTATTTGCTATGTAACGTTAACGAAGATAATTTTGAAAAGAGAAAGAGGGAGAAGAGTGCGAGAGAAACACAGAGAGAGAGGCAGACAGGGAGGGAGAGATACGAGACACAGAGACAGAACAATATTTCTACAGTTGTGGCTCCGTTATAAGAGGGTGTTGTGACAAAGGCCCTCGGCCCTCTTATATCGGAGCCCCCTCTTATACCGCAATAAGAGAGGACTCAACTATTCTATAGAGGGTCGAGTCCGTGACAACAGATTTTCGACCCTCTTATATCGGAGCCACGACTATGGTTTCAAGCACCTTCTTGCGGGTCTCCCACAAGCACCTGCGCAGATGGCAACGTGATGGCTTTGTTTTGTCTTTTTCTTCTCTAGTCCTTGCGGGACGCTGGTCTCTTGCCCGCTCAAGACGTTGTTGTCATGGCTAGGAATGTCGATAGTCCACGGTGCAGGTCTTGTTGGTGTGGTACAGTCTTTGATGTGCCGCTACCTGATTTCGTTCTGCTGTTCCCTCACTCTCTTGTTTGTCTCCTCCTGTGGCGATACGGATAGCAGAACGATGTGTGCTGCACTGCTGTGCCACTCAATGATTTTCGTTGTGCTTTTCCGTCGCTTTTTTTTTAACCTTCGTTTTGTGCCGATTCGGATAGCAAATGAGATGCTGCACACGGCTGTGCCACTCATTGTTTTGGTTCTGCTTTCCCCTCGCTTTTGGTTCCCCCCTTCGTTTTGTGCCGATTCGGATAGCACATGAGATGCTGCACACTGCTGTGCCACTCAATGTTTTGGTTCTGCTTTTCCCTCGCTTTTTTTTTTAACTTCATTTTGTGCCGGTTCGGATAGCAACGAGAAGCTGCACAAGTGCTGTGCCATTCAATGTTTTCGTTCTACCTTTCCCTTACTTTTTTTTGTTTTCTTCATTGTTGTGCCCATTTCGCAACAACACTTGCTGTACGGTACTACATATCCCGAAACTCCTGGTACAAACGAACCATCCCTTTGTGCGTGCGTTCCCCCCAAGGGTGTTGAAAGCGCGGCGAGATTACGCGATCCGCTCCATGCCCAATCCGCTCGAGTTCTTCGGCTACATCTACTGCTTCTCGTCCATCCTCGCCGGCCCGGCGTTCGAGTACAAGGAGTACGACAACGCCACCAGCGGCAAGGCTTACGAGAAGGTGGGGGTGGGGGTGGGGGTTGGTTTGGGGGTTTTGAGGAAGAAGAGGAGGCATGCGTTCCGGCGCCCGGGGCCGTATTGGCTGTCCCGTGGTAGCTTTCTTTGACGGAATGTCTAATCGGTAGATACCGCTGGGGAGTAGATATAATGACAGATAGGAAGGAGTGATAGAGCAAAGATAGAGACAGAGACTGACAGACAGACAGACAAA